ATTTTATTTGCTCTTAAAATATTATCATGCCATCCATATTCACCATAAGGAAATAGCAAAGGATATTGTAAAGGATCGTATGCACCATTTAATTCAGAGATATGTTTTAATTGTCTTTCTTTAGTTTGTATAACAATATCTTGATAATCTGGTTGAATATCATAGTCGCAAAGAAGAACTGCAACTTCTGATGCTGTTGGTTTGTTGTACTGTCTCATATCCTTTCCATGTGTATTATGGATGACCATTCTCCAATGAGAATTATCTGATTCTATTTTTGCCTTTGCTCCTGCAGTTACAAATTGATTAACAAATGGATTGATTATATTTAATTCATTTTGTAACTCTTTAAGCATATCGACATTCAAATTTGGAAACATTTCTTGTCTTCTTTTAAGTTGATTATCCATATTTGAATCAAAAAAGTAGATCTGAGCAAATAAAGGTTTTTCATCATCATATCTTGGCATAAGACCACCAATTTGATGATATAATGCTCCTTGAATCCTAAAAGTGTAAACTCCTTTTTTTGCATTTGCAAGTTCCTTGTCAAGGTTTACACCTAAAGATGTGAATGCAAGAACCTGATTGTATGCTCTAATATGAGTTACAAAAGGTTCATCTGAATCTGGATTATCTTGTGTAAGCAAGTTATACAAATTTTGTGGTGCTGGAGAAAGAGATGCCAAAACAACCTGTCCATTAAGACAACAAAATCCTTTAGTTTCATTTTTCCACTTTAAAGCATAACAGTATTTACATATTTGTTCCATTCTTTCAAATCTATGTCTACTGTTTTCTACTCTATCTTCAGTATATTCATCTATATTGCAATTTCCTAATTTTAAGAATTGTTTTTTTATTTGTTCTTATTTTGCAATATATTGATTTTTTTTTGATAATTCTATTTTGTTCTTTTATTTTATTTCGTTGTTCAATTGTTAAAGCTTCTAAGGATTTTTGTTTTCTAAATCTTGCATTCTCTGTTGTTTTAGACCTTGTTTTAGCTGAAGGTGGAACATTATCCTCTGTTTGTGATCTAGTTCTACTTGATGGTCCAGCCTTAACATTTGCTTTTTTTGCTTGTCGATTAAGAAATCTATTTCTAGTTCGTCTCTTACTATCTAACCTTTTTGTTCTTTCTTCTTGGGTTTCATTTTCAGGTTCTGGATATGCTGCATCAATTTCTTCTAATGATGTGTATTTTGATTTTGTCATTTTTTTGT